GCCCCGGCGGGCCCCCCCCCCCGCCGCTCGCTCCCCTTGCCCGGGGCCACCGCGGTGGTGGCAGCGGCGCGCGGAGCGGCGCGTCGGGCTGGACACCCGGCCCCGGCCTTCACACCGCCCCGGGTCCTCAGCTGCGACCTGGGGGCACCTTGTGCTCCGTCTCCACCAGCGGCTCCTTCCGCTTGGCCGTTCCTGGAGTTCTCTCTGCTCCCGAGGGAAACCGAGGTTTAGAGAGGGAAAAGCGCTTCCTTAGGGAGCCCCATGGCACTCGGGCTCCCAGGGGGCTGGTCCTACAGGCGGGTTGCTGGTATCCCGGGCATGACGGAGCTCCTGCTTCCTCCGTGTTGGTGCAAGGCCCTCCCTTCGGCATCCCGAACCAGGTGGATACGGAGGAGTTTCCTCCCGCCTGCCGTGGAGCGCCGTGCTCGCTCTGGAGGGTCCTAATCTCTGCCAGTTGAGTTGTGCTTGCAAAGGCGATTAGGCAGATGCCAGCTAATTCACAGCAAGCAGGATGGGGGCAGAAGTTGCCACTTATAGATGGCAAAGGAGCAAACCCATCCGCGCTGTCACTCCGGGGTAATGCATCCTGACATAAACCTGGTTTAGCTGCGAGTTTGCCGCTGCTAATCCTGCTGCTCCACGTCTCCGCTTCTCCCTCCTCCTGTCACCTTTGTCTCTCCGGCCAGGCCAGTAGGTTCTGCTGGGCTTTGTGCTGGAGCCGGCCCAGCCGGGGGTTTATTTGATACTTTTGCCTAAACAGCCACAGCTCTGGGCTTCCTGCTAACGGCACCGTGGGGAGTTTCAGCCTGTTGTTTGGAGAGCCACGTGGCCAAGCTAAATATTGTGCTCGGCTTTGAGGGACGGCCGATGGCTGCATGACCTGCCGGGGCTTTGGAAGGGAAGAAGAGGGAGTTTGGGAGCCCGGATCTGCCCGGGTCAGACTGCGGCCCTGCACAGCAGCTGGGAGTGGAGGGGAAGATCCATTTCCATGCAGGAAAACCATGGCTGCAAAGCTTGGAAATGCCCCTCACCTGATGGTCCCTATGCAGCGAGCAAGGGGTTCTGCGTGACTTTGGATGCAAAGGCTGCTCCTGATCCAGCCACGGTGCTCGGGAACAGCAACCCGAGCCCGGCCCGCTACGTTTTCCTGGAAATCCTGCTGGTTTTCCACCCCGGTGCTGCTGCGAGTGTCCCAGCTGTCCTTGCTCGCCTGATCCACCCACACACACTAAGTGGCTTTTCCCTGCAGTGCTAATAAACGCCGGAGAGCCCTTGCCCGGCTCTGCCTTCCCGCTTGGCTCCGCACTCCTCGGCATCCGCAGAGCATCCCGGCTGCGCCGCATCCCCGCACACGGATCAGCCGCTGGAAGGAGGTCGGAGACGCCGGGCCCAGCGCGACGCGGAAACTGGGTCACCAGTTTCACTGAGGAACCTCGAGCCGGGACTTCTCCAGCCCAGGGGTTCCCTCTGGTGGCAAGAGGCTCCCCGCTCGCATCCCGCTCCAGCGCCGCGGGGCGCCGGGATCCCGGGGCTGCAGGGCTTGGGAAGGGGCGGCATTCCCGCCACACATGGAGAATCCCACGGCAGGGCCGAGCGCTGCTGTTGCCCGCGCTAACAGCGGGGTTCCAGCTCCACCCTCTGTGGCGACATGAAACTTGCATGAGATCGGAGACAAAACGTCTATTTGTTTGAAGGATGTTTTAATAAGAGCAGGTTGGGGCGGGGGGGAAATATAGGAACTCTTCCCCTCCACCCTGCAAATTTCCAGCGATCTTTCCTGCCTTCTGGAAGCAAAATGCTTTGCAAAGAAAACGGAGCCCATGCTGGGGACGGGAGCTGCTGTTATCGAGGTCCCCTGTGGCTGGCGCGACCTGCAAAGGCAGGGGGAGTTTGCAACATGTTTGTGCATGGGCTGCGAGGAAGAGGAGGACTCGCCTCCAGCAAGGACCTTGGAGATGCTCCCCAGCATTGGGCAGCGTTTAGGATGTTTTAATAAGAGCAGGTTGGGGGGGAATATAGGAACCCTTCCCCGCCACCCTGCAAACTTCCATCCATCTTTCCTGCCTTCTGGAAGCAAAACGCTTTGCATAGCAAACGGAGCCCATGGTGGGGACGGGGGCTGCTGTCACCGAGGTCCCCTGTGGCTGG